CAAGTGTAGATGGCACTAATAGTCTGACTTTATGATTCAGAGTTTCATCTTGAGAAAATTTAGTCTTTTAGTGAAAGTGTATTTTATAATAGCCTTAGAAAAAGAGCTCTACCAGTGGATGGGATGAGTCCAAAATGTCCTCTGTTGGCTCACAAACTGCAGTTAGGCCTTCTGATTCTTTTTTTTTTTTTTAAGATTTTATTTATTTGTGAGAGAGAGAATGAGAGACAGAGAGCATGAGAGGGAGGAGGGTCAGAGGGAGAAGCAGACTCCCTGCTGAGCAGGGAGCCTGATGTGGGACTCGATCCAAGGACTTCAGGATCATGACCTGAGCCAAAGGCAGTCGCTTAACCAACTGAGCCACCCAGGCGCCCAGGCCTTCTGATTCTTGTCTCTTATTTCCCTGTTACCGTGGAGCCTGAGGGAAGGTTACAGGAAGGTAATTATTGTCCTATTTCCTTTTCACAACTCCTCTTAGAGGGCCAGTGTTCCAAGGTCCTAGATGAGGGATGTAAGCCACAGTGGGGTTCAGTGGTGGGTATGTGGTGGGGCTGGGCATGCAGGACCTGGTTGGAGATGCCCAGCCTGAGTTGCCTGCAGGACCCTACACTCTGTCTTGGGTAGTAGCTCACAGAAATGACATCACCACAGGTAAATGAATAGGATTTTGTGTATGAACTTCATTTCCATTAAATATCCTCATTTGTTCATATTCCTCTTGAATGCATGTTTATTGTTGCTGCCAACATTTGGGTCCTGTTTTATCAGGACCTTTGCATAAACATTTTCACTGGTATTACACTGATTTTAGGCAGTCTGTTATCTGTCTGGCTTCATTTTTTTTTTTTTTTCATTTTCACTTTTTATTATTTTTCCACGTTGAAGATTTTATCCAAATCAGTCTTATTTGGCTAATAGAGTGATTATCTGATTTCTACTGTGTGTGTGTGTGTGTGTTTTAATCCTATTATCTCAGAAAACTTTGCTGCTTCTTATCCCTTTATCCATATTCTGCTCACTATTTCAGTTCCATCTTTTTCCAACCACCCTTTGACTATATGGTAACAGAGAAGAGAGGAGAAAAACCGTAACTTCATTGCATTATGGGTATGCTGATAACATTAAACTCAGACTCTAATTTGTCACTTTTATGAAAAGGCAGAATTAGTTAAAATCATTTCAGCCTTGATTTGGAGGTAGAACTGGTCAAGATTACTTGGTTATCCATACCCCCCCTTTTTTTTTTATGTGACGCCTAATATATTCCAAAACTAGTGGAAAGAATATTGGAGAGAAAGTCTTGTGATGACTCTTTTATCAGATCCGTTGCCTGAAGTTACTTGCCCTAGCATTCTTTTTCTCATTGTGATTATGAGGATAGCAGTAGTGTGAGTGATGATGAGAATTATGTGAGCAAGTGAAACAGAATGTGTTCAGTGGAATGCCTAGGAGATGGGCAGAGCATGTTGCTTAAAATTAAAGGTTACTAGTTTCTTTGACTTTTTTCTTTAGATAGGCTAGAACATATTTCAGAATGTCAAAGGATATTGGTGTTGAGAAATGAACTGATTAAAAAAATCTGGCCTTTTTTTTTTTTTGCAGATAAAGATAAGAAAAATGTACATTTTCTAAAAAGTAGAGGGTTGCCATTTGGTCAGGTTAAGGAAAGGAAGTCCACTACCATAATTTTTATTAGCCTTCATCTGAAAGCTTTAACTGATAGATAGGAGGTTTAAGTACTAGGAATAAGGTGACAAACGTGTCACTTTTTGCTGGTTCCTGGAAGATCTAGGACAGTGAGTGGAATAACCGGTAGGATAGGTACTTGTATCTCCATATTCCAGATTACTCTTTTCCACCTTGGTACATACAGTTGCCTCTTACGTGTGATTGTGTGGATGTGCCAGGGCTGCTCAAACAGAACGTGTTTAAAACTGGACTGTTCAAACCTGTTTCTCATTTGTTGCTGAATTAGATAAGCACCATACCATCATCATCTGCTGGGTTTAGGTTAACCCGAGTGCCCTTTCTTTCTCCTTTGGTCTGCAGCTTCATACATACAAACATACACCCCACCGGTATTTACTGAATACCTGCGAGGTGTGTTCCAGGCCTTACTTTGGGGTGCTAAGGATATAATGATGAACAACGTATCTACATTTAACAGACTTGTTTTGTAATGGGGGGAGAAAGATAATTTATAGTATGTGAGGAGTAGGTGCTTTGGAGGCAAAAAAAGGGGCAGAATGATGGTGTTAGGGAATACTGAGTGAGGACTGCTGTTCCATGTAAGGCAGTAAAGGAAAGCTCTTCCATTAATGTTGCTCAGGAGTCTTTGGCTGCCCTGTGGTACAGAGACAGCAAATGGTCAAGCCAGGAAGTGGGAGATGTGTTAGAAAGCAGTTGTGATGCAGGTGAGAAAGGATGGTGGGCTTGAGAAGAGGAAAAGTAGGAGCCAGGGGGATGGGGAGGAGTGCTTAGCTCAGGGAAATGTTGGAGTTAGAGCTGCCTGGATTGCTGGGTGGATTGGCTATGATTTTGAGGGAAATAGTAGGAAACAGGATGACGTCAAGCTCTTTGAGCTCAGCAAGTGCAACAAGAGCATTCCCATTTTTGGTTTTGTTTTTATTTTTGTTTTTGAGATGAAGAAAACTGCTGGAAGAGCAGGTGTGGAGGGGTGTGTGTGTTTGGCTTTGGGCATGTTAAGTTGAAGGTGCCCTTTAGACATCCGAGCAGAGATGTTGAGAGGAGGCCCTTGGGTATTCAATCTGGAATTTAGGAGGCAGATGTGGGCTGGATTCTACTTTTGGAAATCATCCCTTCTTTTCATCCCAGTGGCTGCTGCTGTAGATGAGGGCACCATATATTGTCCTTTGGATTTCTGTAACGCCCTCTGTCCTGACCTTCTCCCATTTTACTTTTGCCACTCTTTGACTTCACTTTGAAAAGCCTGAGTTTTTTCTAAAATTCAATTCTTTTGATGTCTGTCTCGTACTTAAACCTTGGTGGCTTCTCATTGCTTGGAGGATAAAATCCAGACTTCTTAACCTGGCTTAAAAGGTCTTGCATGATGTGGTATCTGCTTATTTTCTGGTGTCCTTCACTTCCACACAATATTCTCTGCTCTTGTTATTCTCACTTCTTTCTGTGCCCTTCAAGTTCTTGCACCATGAAACCTTCAAACACTATCCTTCTGTTGTCTGATCCTTCCTCCTACCACCCCAAAACCTTCTCTCATACCTAACTCCTTTCCTCTTCCAAGCTTTTGATTAGGTATCATTTATTACATGAAGACTGTCGCTGTTAAGAATGGGTTATGGGATTCTTATCAAAACACTGCAGACTTATCTATGTATTATAGTTGACATTTGCTTCGCATTCACCGCTATTGGTCTTTAATTCTGTGAGGCCAGGATGTCTCTGTTTTGTCTAACGTTGTATCTGTATTGCCTAGCACAGTCCCTTTTAATGGGTGCTTAATATTCATTTGAATGAAAGAATAAGTAAAGTTGCTGATTATAAAACATGTATGCAAAATTCAACAAAGTTTCTATATTCCAGCAGTAACTAGTTACAAAGTACAGTGGAAAGGGTAGAATTAACCAATCTCTCCGCCTCCCATCCCCATACTTAAGAGTATAATTTAGATATACTTAGGACACCTAACACTAACAGTGAATGTACGGGTTGCCTACAAAGAACACTGCGCTAAGTTGAATGATTATAAACACATGTCATGTTGATGACTGGGAATTTTGAAAATTGTCAACATACCAAATCTTGAATTTATTTACAAATGTCTCATGAGTCAAATACAATTCAAATGAATTTTATTTCTGGAACTTTTGCATTACTCTAAAGTTCATGTGGAAAAATAAATGAGAAAAGGGAAGAAAGTTTAGAAGGGGAAGAAAAATAATTTGGACATTCAATTAAGATGTAGTACTTAGAACAGTGGAACAGAATTAGAAGCCAGAAAAACAAGTATAGGATAAAAGTGTAATATAGAAGCAGTTGAGAAAGATGACTATTAATAAAATGATAGAGGTAATTACTTAATAAGTATTTTGAAAAATATAGAAGTTGATCCCTGTCTCACATTATGTACCAAAACATGTAATTATATTAGTCTTTTTTGATATAATGTAATTATAATGTGCCATCTTATATGTATGAAGATGCTTTTGGCAGCTATTTTCCCCAATAGTAGTGATTTATTTGTACATATCTAAAACACTTTGCTCCATTATTTTTTGTTATCAAGATCCTGATTTTGTAAGATGACTGGCTTTGACCAGAAGTGCCATCTGTGGACACAAAGGAGAGGGAAGTTGATAGGATCACTACTGGTTCCAGCTCTTAACCTTGACTGTCCTATACCTTGTTGTAAGGACAGGTCATAGATTGATGTTTAGCATGATACATTTATTCTCTTATTTTTTACTAAGAATAGGGAGGTTAGATGCATTTGTTGCTTCTGAAACCCTCAGATAAAATAAGCTAAATATCAAATTTTGACTGTTTTCAAAGATTTGGAAACCAAATTATAAACCACCTACTCTTCCAGTTTAGTAGGAGCTATATTTTTAAATAAGGGTGGTCTCTCAGACATAAAATAGCTGTGTGTGTGTGATTGCTTAGCATTCTTAGAGCTAACTTCTTAACCTACTTTAAGTGTAAGTATATTCATTTCTGTAATTGTGTCCCATATACTGTTCAAATGAACTAAGTGTTCTCATTCTTGTACCCAGTGGTATTGGTTTCCATAATGCACATCAGTTTTGTTTTTGCTGTCAGACCTTCAAGTATCTACTCAGTTTTTCTAGCGTAAGAACCACTAGTGCCTATCTAAAACAGTCTAGGTCTTGGGATATCTATTACTTTTATAACCATGTTATTTAAGAGAATAGTATCTTTTTTAGATTCTTTGATAATAGTTCACAACCTGTCCTTTTGCTGCTGAATGCCTGACTGACGTGGGTCTATCCTTGGTTTTACAGAGAGAAGAGAAGAGGAAGATTTTGAAGAGAAGAAAGCTATTAAGAAAAAAATTAAAGAGCTTAAATTTTTAGATTCTAAAATTGCCCAGAACCTTTGTACGTATGAAATTTCAATACTATCACATTAGTAAAACACTGGAGGTGGTTCCTGTAAATTATTTCATTTTCTTTATGACTTGTTTTTCATTTTTTTATTTTATTATTTGCATAATAACTTCAAAGATAATTCCTTCCCTTTAGGCAATTTATGGGTTAAATTCTTCAAAAACGTATTAGAAAATAAAGCTAAGGAAAGTATTTAGAATGAAAATATGTCTTCTATAACGGGAAAAAAAAGCTACCCTTTGTCTAAGTATATAAATAACGAGTTAAGAAATTTAGGTGATGACATCATATTTTAAAAAGTGATAACGGATTATTTCTTTTATACCTCCGAATCTCTATTATTTTTGATACTTGATCACACACAAAAGAGGTTGGAATATTAATGGAAATTAGGATGATGAGTAAAATGAATTCCATTATCCCATCTGAGCAATTGAAAGCCTTTCCTCAAAAGTAATGACTGGAAATATTTTACATTTAATTACTGTTACAGGAGCTAAATACTTAGTATTGAATTGTCTCCCTGACTGAATTACTAGGAGGAGAAGAGAGCAAAGAGTTTTGCTTCTAACTCCTTTCTAACTGCAACTTGAATGCATCAAAGATAGTTTGCTTGGAACCGAGATAATACCATGTGTATAGATCACTTGCTAATGTTGTGATAGGAATCCAGTGTGGAGAATCAAGGGTCATGGGAAGTTAACATGGCTTCTAGTCTGCCTTTCCATTGCTACATGCCTCAAGAGAGCTTTTAGCAAGTATTGGGAACAAAAATTCTTTGGTAAGAGGCTAAAGATCCATGCTATGGATTAGAGAAGAAATTCTGTCGGAGGCAGTAAGTGTAAAGGACAGAGTTGACATTCCTTCTGTGCAGGTTGAGACCTCCATCCTTTCCTGCTTGCTATGACAGAGGGCCACCCCTTGTCTGCGTTGTGGATGCGCCATGATCCCCATGGACAGTGTGTAGATATTAACGTGATTGGCCAAGATATTACTCTCTTTGTGGGCAGAAGTTGATTGCACATCCCTTTGCTCTTGAAGGTAGATGTCGCCATGTGACTTCTTGGGCCAATGACAGTGTAAGTGGAGATGAGGTATCTTTCACATGGAAGCATTTATTGCTGGTGTGAGAAACTCCAGTGCTCTTTCCCCTGCACCCAGGATGGCCGGTCAAAGTGGTGTCCATCACCCTGATGTGAAGATTGTGTCAGGGCTCTTTCTGATGTGTAATGGACATGTAGTCTGAATTATAAATGCTTTGTGGATGTGTATGTGTGTGCGAGCTTAGACTAAGATTTTGGGGACTGTTACATGATACAGGTATTTCAGGGAATTTTTGCCTTTAAAGGAACATTGATTTCAAAGCATTATTAACTTAGATAATGTCAAAAAGTTCTATTCTCTGTGATCTAAAAGAGAGTTTTTCTTGAAAAGTGTCCATGTCTTGGTGTTACTGATTCCTAGGCTTAACTCTAAACAGCCTCATTAGGGGTCCTGAAGAAATACCATTTTATTTATTTACCTAAAGTTTTTATTTATTCATTTGAGAGAGCAAGAGAGTGTGTGCACATGAGCAGGGGCAGAGGGAGAGGGACAGGCCGACTCCCGTGGAGTAGAGCCATAGGACCCTCAGATCATGACCTGAGCCAAAGTCAAATGCTTAACCAACTGAGCCACCCAGGCACCCCAAGAAGTAGCATTTTTAATAGAATTCTTTTCAGATGGGTCAGCCATGATAAGTTGGTATAAATATTCATCTCAAAGTTGAATAGTTGAATTTGGTATTATTTATATGTAATAGAACATGTGCTAAATGATATTTCAAATGTAATAATGGCTAATAATTACTGATTACCTTTATAATCTAGTTCTGTATTTGGCCCTTTAATCTCTACTACAACCCTATCACATAGGTAGTAAGTAGCATGACGTTACGGATGGGTATAGCAGTTCAGTGACTTGAAGAAGATTGCTTATTTTGAAAATGGTCAGTAGATATAGGTTATACTATTCCTGTTTAGAGATAACAAAATCATATTATACAGAGGATATTAGTTTTTTGTTGTTATTGTTTTAGCTAGAGGATATATATCCATCCAATTAATTGTAAACACGTTTTAAAGTATAAGATCGAAAAGTCCAGAATTTAAACCATGTCGTATTATGATGTAATCCATTTCTGGATTCTTCTTGACCTCTTTGATTGTAGCAAGTGTTACGATTTAAGCTTTAAGAAACTTTAGCAACCTATAATCTTGACCGTAATTATAGTCTGATTCACAGCTGGTTTTTGTCTGTGAAATTCAGTCTTTTGAGATACTGAATTCTGAAAAGAGTCTTGTGATAGTGACAAGACTCTCTGTTGTCACTTGGAAATCAGATACTTTCTCTTAGATTTCTCTTAACTGAAATATTTGATAGAATTTTGAGCAAAGGATCTAAAATATACTCCTTTATTTACCTATTGATTCAAGGGTGTTTTAGGTTCTCCCTGTATTTGAGGTCATAAAGGGTTTGGCAGAGACCCTGGGCTCAGCCTAAAAGGTAGAATTCTAGCCACTCCAGCTCAAGAGATGCCTTAGGAGTTGTACAAGGATCATATGCTTTACCAGATTTTTGGAGTATTAGAGCTCTAAAGGGAGGAACCCTGGAATCTATGAATTAATGTAAAGGTTTAAATATTTATAAGTTCCCTTGAAGAAAACATGTGTGACTGGTTCCAAAATCTGCACACGTTACACTTCTTCACTGAACTCAGAACTGCCCACTGGGAGCTATATAATCACATTTTGAAGGATAAGATGCATGTTAGTAAAAATATTCACTTTAATGGGTCTTTTGGAGGCTTTAAATGAGTATCTCATATTCTCAGTAACTTTTTTTTTTTTTTAAAGATTTTATTTATTTATTTGAGAGAGAGAGAATGAGAGACAAAGAGCATGAGAGGGAGGAGGGTCAGAG